AATGATAGGATGTCAGTCCCTGGGGGTAGGTAATGAGAGCTGTGTGAAACAGGTGACAAGTCTCACTCCCAGGGTGAGTGGGTGGCTGACAGGCCTGTCAACTCTGGCACTTGGACTGTCACAACCCTAGCCTTTATCCTGTCGTGACATACTGCCCGCAATGGTGCAGGAGAAACCTGATTGGTGGTGTGGGTGGTCAGCCTGCTACCTGTACTTTCTTCTTAGGATAGAGAAAACTGGGTTTTCACTTTGTCCAGGTTCTGTTGCCACATGAAACCTACACTGAGAATGGCATTAGTTCCCACAAGAGATCTCTCCAAAAGTTGCAGCAAGAACAAAGTAAAATGAGATATTTATAAGCCCACATGGATATTGCAGTTTAAAACTGATAATACTGGAGTTCTTTTTACATTCCAAGTTGTGATTTTCAGTTGTGATCATCTTTGTCCTTGTTGAGCATGTTTTTTATTATAAGCTAAAAAATACAGATGGTAGTATGTTCCCCAATTACCTTCAAATCCTCCTATAAGGATATGTGACATACATGGGAGTAAAAAAAAAAAAAAAAAAAAAGCTTTCCAAATGTTAATTAGCCATACCACCTCCACGATGACTGTGGCTCTGGGGCAATGAGTATATCCTAGCTTTTGACTAGTATGTGTCCCATCTTTTCACACTGATGCTGTTGCTACTACTAGGGATCAGGCCCAGGTATTTGGCAAATTTCCTAGCTAGTTCTCAGAGGGCTGCCTCTTTGTCCTCCTGGAACTGACCCCAACATGTGTTTTTAGACAGACCTTAATTCCACCTTCTTTGAATTCTCTAGGACACTCACCAAGGCCTAGAAAGCAACTCTTATTTTAGGACCTCCCTTTTTCCTTTTCAAGAATCCAATCTGCAATTTCCTAGAAGAACTACGCTGTTAGATGGCTAGTGGTTTAGAGGGTCTGAAGAACACATAATGCTTTCAGTAACTCAACTAATGATTCGTTCTTATGAAAACATGTGTCCCTATAAATTGCCCTAAACTTCAACTTTGAAGCAAGCAGGCGAGCCTTTGGGGCCTTAGAATAATATCAAGCATGGGTGTCTAAGGTTGGAACAAGAGACCTGCTTCGATTCGACGTTTCACGTGTTGAACACTGTAGGAGAATGTGGTGAGGAGCTACTCCCTGCACAGCCTTCTACTGCAGGGCTTGACTCCCACAGAGCTGGGCAGTCCATAATTACAGCCAATTGCAGTTAAGAGGCTGGGATCCCAAAATGTCTGCTTTAGTGTGTGCTTTAGAGCTTGTCACCCCCAATGAGCCCCTCTCCCCCAAAGAATGAATAGATGATGTACAGAATAATTCCTTTGAAAATATTATGAGACAAAGTCTCCAGGCACTAAATAAATTAAAGCTGCTACTTTGAAGTAAATAGAATTATAACAAAAATAATCAACAGAGAAAAAAACGTGGAAGAGGAGAAAGATGATTTCAAGATCAGACTCAACTCAACTGCTCCTCCTAGTGTGCTAACAGTGTTTCTCACCTTCCTCACATTTCTAAACCAGCAGAGAAATTTAAAGCTCTAATTTACTTTGCAGTATATTATTTTGTTAGATATTTAGATCAATGTAGAACAATAAGGCAGAATGGAAAAATAGTGTCTTTCAGTTTCTTGAAAAGGCACTGACTTAAATCTTAATGGGACACATCAGATATGATGACAAGAAAAACATAAATATGGGTACCTCTAACAAACATGCAAAGTTAAAGTTAGCTTCTTCCTCTACGTGTCAGTTTAAATACATTATGTTTTGTGCATATATTATGCAACCATCTMGTCATCTTTAAAATATGTTTGGGAGGTTAAATATGGTGTCAGATAAAATACTCAAGTAAAGTTCAAGAACACAGAGTTAGGAAACATATCTAAGTCTTCCAAATTTGGGTTTGTGACTTGGCTGGCATGTTGAAAATGTTTTCTTTTCTATTTTAGCTTTTCCAGAAAGGTGGTTTCATTACACTGTTCCTGTATATACTACACATTTAAAAATATCAACTTATGTGAGTTCTTAGGAGAAATCCAGTTGGGTTTAACTGACAAAAGAATTCTATGCACGACTAGATCATGAGGGGAAGAAGCAGGAAAGAGTTGACCTGTACCTATTAGAAGCCTGTGGGTGGGTTCTGCTACATCAGCCGCTAACTGTGTTTTCCAGATCTGTCTTCTGTCACTGGGTGGTTTATCCTTAGTTCTCATTTCAATATTTTCAAACCTCCCAAATTGTTCAGCTGTTAAAAAGTTCCAAAACAAGCAAATGTGTTCCTGGAATCCTACCCTTAACTTTGCTGGAGACTATATACTAAGGCTTCTTCTCCAGCCAAAATAATAAAAGATCTTTTAAGTGGCTGGAATTCTTGGTTGATTGCACATACATGCCAATGTCAGACAACTATAAATAGAGATTTGGAAGAGAAATAGGGAGAGTCTTTATAACTCCAGTGAAATATAATGGAATGTTTTGAAGGCAGTCAGAAAACAGTACATATTTTTATAAATTTAAGATTTGTCTCTCAGCCCCAGACCCCCTTTATGCAGAAAGAGCCCACATGGATCATGCACTTCCAGTATGAGAGAATAAAAGGGCTTTCTTTTCTTTATTGATGTAAATTTCTTATTCTCAATCCTGTAATTAAGATTTCTTCTTTTTATTATGCTTTTCAGTTTCCATATCTATTGGATCTTTTGATATGTCCCCCTCATCACTGCTTTGTTTTCCCAGAATACTAAAAAATCTTTCAAAGGATAAAATTATGCCTATGGTTACTGATATAAATTAAGTCAGCAGGGAACTGCATGGGTGTTAGCTAGGGCAGATACAGCCCCCAAATGAACTGAGTCATGTGTGATAGCTAGGCAGAGACTAAAGGACTCATTTTAGAAATTCTTATGCTCTTAGGAGGGTTAAYATCTTCACCAACTTTAATACCTGTTCATGCATATCTCTAAAGGCATTTTACTTCATTTTGAACAGCAACTTACTTTTTTTTATATTAACCCACCCATCTTATATTAACTCACCTGAATTGAATTCAAACTAGTTCATCCCATTCTGAAGCTACAACCATTGTAAAAGAAAATTTACTGATTGCTTCACTTTACACATTTTGCTATAGATGAGCAAATTACTCATCAGTAATTTAAAAAAACAGCACTTGTTTAATAGTATTTTAATGCAATTCTTTCTACCCTACATCATATTCCGGAAGTGAGAGATGTTGCAATACGAACCATGGGTTCAAGGTACATCTGGAGGAAGAGTCAATAATATAATTCATTTCTGAATTCTTAGTTCTCTTGAAATTTCATTAAGTTTGATTTGGCTAAAGGCCATAGTTTGGCTCCAAAGATTGAGCACTTAACACTGGCATAACAGAAAATAATATTTTAATAATATTTTTAGTGATGATTTTAATATTTAGTATTTCGGAAATAAATCCTTAAGGCAACAAAAATAAGATTTATGGGGATTTAAAAAATAGTGTGATGCTGAACAAGTCATGTTCACAATTTAAAAATTTGTCCTCGAGCTTAACCTTTAATATTTCCCTTATTTAAAAGTGGGACTCAGTTTATTTAATGACTTTAAATTAAGTCTAACTTTATACTTTTATAGATCTATTACCCACAATCATATGTTGCTGCTATGCATTGGGTGGTTTGTCAGATTTTCCTGTTATTCAAATACAGGGTTAGACTGCTGTACTTCAACTGCTTTACCAAGAAGTATTTCATGAAGTAGTTACCTGGTTGGAAAAAACTTTTTGAGCAACTACAAGGGAGGAATGTGTTTGTTTCATTGGGGTAGGAACTGTACACTCAGTATTAGCTGGTGTACTTACAGTACCTTGGCCAGGGACCAGTAAAGGGGTAAGTGAAAGGCGAGAAGCAAGCACAGAAGGCTCCCTGCAGAGGGCCTGCTCCCAGGGGAGACCACAGGTTGAAAACTGACTCCACATGACAAGAGCAAAGCCCTGTGTTAGGCAGAAACGATTATACCAGTGTGTTTTTCTAAGTTCAGATTTTTTTAAAAAATGGCTAAATCTTTCAAGCTAAACTACYGCAGTTCAGTGTACTCATTCCTCACCATCCACTCACTGTATGCTGTTTCTTCTGATAGCATTGATTAAAAAGCATTTTTCAAAGGAAAGACATTTTTTTCCATAACTGATGATGCCAAAAATGAAAGATGTCCTAACAGTAAAAAGTGAGATCATAACATTAAATTCCCCATGGACAAAATGTTATGACAAATGATAGTTTATTTAATCAAAGAAGTCTCAGTTATCTGTTCTACGCTTGGAACGTGATGCCTGAGACTAAACGGGAGCAACTAGTTTACTCTGCTTTCCAACTTCCAGGGATTTGCTAACAGGTTGGCTTGCGGCAAAGGATTCCTAAATAACATATAAAACTCAGATCTTCATATTTTGTGATATTTTGAAACCAATAAATAAAACTATTTCAACAAGGCCAGATGACAGAACAGAAATAAAAAAGCAGAGTAAAAATGATACATGTACTTAGCTTCCTAATATGGCTTAGGGGAAAAAAATCAGGTAAATGGAAAAAATGTGAGGCATCAGTTTCATCTAGCTCAAAAGTTGTCACCAACTTTTAGATGGTTTAGATTAGAAAGTAAGTCACTATATTGTATTTTATAAACGTTGTTCTGCTGATAGTAAAATATTTCCTGGAATTTAGTTACAAGAATGAATTTTAGGATTTACATGCAGCGACTCTCTRGGAACCCAAACCCATACTGTCTGATGGCTCAGGCTGAACATGGTAGCTGGTGCACAATTAGGGTTTGGTAACAGTCTAAAGGCAACATGAATGAATGGATAGAAGCATGAATGAATGAAAAAAGTGTCATGACAACTTATCAGGTGGGTTGTCAACATTAAGACAGAGAGAGAAAGAGAAGGAGCAAAATCTGTGTAAAGACTTACTTATTCCATGCTTGTCTAAGGTTTTTAGAGCTGTACAGGGTAAAGCGTTCTGAAATAAAAAAAAGAAAAATGATAAACAATCTTCATATCACATGCATATATTTAAAGTATGTTGAAGAAAACTCAGCAGTTTTAAAGGCAGTGGTTGAGTGAGTCATTGGTGGACAAGCCATMGTGAAGTTGTCATCTGGAGACCAGACGGGTTTTTTTAAAGAGTAAAACAGGAAGATTGTGATATCTTACACAAGGATTTCTTTTGTCTAGAATAATTTACTTCATAGTCTAGTTTCTTTACTCATTACTTATTTTAGAACAAGTTTTAATTGATTGGAAAAAACCCCACAAATTCCAAATCTCAAACTCTAAGTTAGTTTATAGAAGAACATTGGCACACAGATCAGGTGAGATTGGCTGTTTCATCTCTGATCAAATACAACGATGTTGGATGTTCTTTCTTATGATACATGGAATTTACATATGATCAAAGCCAAAGTATTCATGTCCAATAGTGTGTATTTTCATTAATAATTGGACAACCATTATTAGATTTTTTTAAGTGAAAAAGGAACATGTTTGTTTTACCAAGTTAAACAATAAAGTAATATGGAATAGATAATCACTAATCTCCTCCACTGCTCCCATTTTCGATCCCTGATGACACAGTGATTGTTAATGGCTTGATATGTCTCTGCACATACTTGTTCATAAACACACATATGTAAAACCCATACATAAACACATATACTATTAATTTTATTTTATTTTACTTTATTTTTTTATTTTTTTAAGAGAGAGTGAGAGAGGAGAGAGAGAGAGAGAGAGAGAGAGAGAGAGAGAGAGAGAGAGAGAGAGAGTCTTTATGTAGTATTCAGTTCTTTTCCCTTACAAACAATGTTACAATAAATAT